TGTTCCCTACCCGTAACCGTACCCTACCCGAAATGAGTGACAAACGGTTACTCATCAGTGATTCACGGCCTACCCGTACCCGTACCCGGCCGCACCAGGGTCGCAAACGGCTACCCGTACCCGGTCGGGTACAGGTATCCGGGTATCGGGTAGGGTACGGGTATCGGGTACCCGGTTGCGACCTCTGCCTCAAGGAGCATATGGCCTGGCACAAGCGTCGTGGTGACGTCAATGCCACTTAGTGGCGAATGGCGGTTGTTGTGTTGTGTAGTCATTGAATATCTGGCCTGAGCCAATTAACTAAATTCAGTTGAGAATCCAGCTTGATCACAACTCAGTGTAGGTATATTGTATCTCTACGCATGGGTATATGTGTTAGTCTATGGATCTGTGTGTCTGCTTATTTCTATGTGTTTTTGAATCTCTAAGTCCATGGGTCTGTATGTGAGCCTATACGGGTCTGTGTGTCTATGACCTCCATGTGAGTATATGGGTCTCTATGACAATCACTTGACGACTGCGCTGAGACTATAAATTCATTGTATTTGAGAACACAGTTTCATGATAGGTGTCTGAGACCCAGATTCGAAACTTATTTCTCAAGAACATAATAGACCAAAGGTACCACGGCATACACCCTCCAGATGACCGACACGCACGTGTGTTGTTGTAGTGAATACCGGCTGTGATCTAAGGAGTAGAAATAACAGGAAAGAGTGCGATAAAGAAGAAATGTACAATAAACTCTCGATTATCTGTATGCAGTTTATCCGATTTGTGGATTAATCCGTGTACCTGAGATTTTGACATAAATTCATAACTTATGGAGTTTCTCATCAGCCCAAAATTAATCATCTAAAAACAGTGATACACTATTATTCTTGGAAATGTTTATTTCAAGTCACGTGATTAAGCTGATCAAATATGTCCTCCGGTTAGTCCGAAATCCACGTGATCGCCTCTACACTACAGTAGTTGCATATCTTAAAAACAGTGGGTGGAGATTGATTGATGTTGATTGGCATGGCTCTGTTATCCACTTCGTGAGTCTTCTGCGCGGGAGCAGGAAAGTGTTATTATTACTGAGCACGTGAATCGATGGGTCGATCATTGGTATTCATTTCATTCCAAATCGAAAGATTAGCAATGGAATCGTAAGCTGTGCTGCAATTTGAATGATTTATCCGATTATTTTATTTTTATGAGTTTACTTTATGGAAAATGTATGTTTTGGGATTTTCAGCGAGTTTGAAATATACGCAGCCGTCTCCCTGTGTCATTTGTGCAGATAATTGAGTCTACTGTATTTACAAAGGAAAGCATTTGGCAGGCAAACACATTTGAAAATGTCCTCCCTTCTACATACAGTACTGCCGGAGCAGTTCCTAACATAAGTGTAATAATTCAAACCTTTGGACGTGGGCCCTTGCAGGTCGCTCCTGTGCGCTTTGTAGATCTGAAAAGAGGAAGAAAATCACGTGTCCTACTCATGCTTTCTGTAACGCTTTCAATATATGTTTGTCCTTGGAAAGCTATACATGTGTATTACTAGCTTTACTACCGGGCTCGCCCGGGCTTGGATTAACCACGCCCGGCCGCCTTTGTCTCTCCAGTGGCGATGTTCACACACCACACCAGTTACTCGTTTAAGGCTGAGTCGACCTAGGGGAGGCCCAGGAGTGGTAAAAAAATCGTCACCGGTGGTGGCCGTGAGCGGGAATCGGTGCGCACCAGACACCCGGCAAGGCCTGTCACCTCATGCATCACCATCGCCGCGCGGTCCGTGTGTCGTTACAACAAGGTGCCTCCGATTGACCCGTGTCGCTCGCTGACGCAATGGCGCCGATTGGCACGGAGGGTAGTTGCGGCCGCTACGGGGTCGTCCACGGTACCGGGTTCTATTCAGGGGGTCGAGGTGCGTATTTTGGTGGACTCCGGTGCGTCCGCAACCATTATTTCGGATGTCATTTTCCATCTTTTGGGCATTCCGCCAGGGAGAGTCCGAGCGGTTTATGATTCATGCATAGCGGCGAACGGGGGAAGTATGGGCATTGTGGGCCAGGTGGACGCCAACATATCCATTGGGGGGGGTGTCGGCTTCAGGGACCATGCTGATCTCTAGGTCCCTCGTGGTACCCTGTTTGTTGGGGACTGATTTCCTGGCAAAAATGCCCATTCAAATAAGGATTGATCAAAACTGCATTGAATTACCAGCGGGGCGGAAAATTTCATTCCTACCGTCGCCATGGGGCCGGCCTGCCCCTGTTTGCCAGGTGCAGGCGCTGTCCGAGGTATCTGTTGACATTCCACCTGGTTCGCAGATGCTTATCCCGTTGAGATATCGGAAGCCAGTACCTGGCGTTGAGGGAGCGGCGGGGGTTCTGTTATCGCCGTCCACGGCTATAACGGGCGGCTCGGCGCTGGTTGGGGCACAAACAATTGTCCGGCCGGGCCAGCAACCATTCTTATAGGTGCTAAATGGGAGTGCAGAGAATGTCAGTGTCCCGGCCGGAACGGTTGTGGCTCACGCCACGACCGCGTTCACGAACCATGACAACCGGGTCCGCCGGGACATGGTAGGGGGGGTTTCGGGGCCAACGGGGCAGGATGACCGTTGGGTTGCCGAGTTATGCGGGGAAAATTCATCCCTGACCAGAGAGCAACGGTCCGCGCTTCGCGCGCTGTTGCTAAGTTATTCCGACGTGTTCAGCTCGGATGATTTTGACTTGGGACGCACCTCCCTGCTTTCCCACCACATTGATATGGGGGATGCCGCTCCGATTCGGTTGAACTCGCATCGGTTGAGCCCGAAGGAGCGGGATCAGGTTCACGGTGCAATGGAGGACATGCTAGCCGCTGACATTATATCCCCGTCTAACAGTCCATGGGGCGCGCCGGTAGTCCTTGTGAAGAAGAAGGATGGGAAACTGCGATTTTACGTCGATTTTCGGAAATTGAATAAGGTGTCTGTCGCAGACGCGTACCCACTTCCGCGTATGGATGATTCCCTCGATGCCTTGTCTGGGGCGAAGTTTTTTTCAACATTGGATCTCTCTTCGGGATTCTGGCAGCTTCCCCTTGACGAGTCCTCGAGAGAAAAGACGGCTTTTCGTACGCCGCAGGGACTCTTTCAGTTTAATTGCCTTCCGATGGGCTTGAATGCGGCTCCCGCCACTTTTCAGCGGTTGATGGAGCTGGTGTTAACGGGTCTGCAGTGGGAGACATGTTTGATTTATTTAGACGATGTCATCGTCTTTAGCCGCACATTTGACGAACATTTGCAGAGATTGGAGACGGTTTTTGCTAGGATGCGCTCCGCAAATTTGAAATTCAAACCGAAAAAGTGTCACCTACTGCAACGATCCGTGCGTTATTTGGGACACATAGTCAGTGCGGACAGGGTGGCCACGGACCCGGAGAAGACGGCGTGCGTCCGCAACTGGCCAACCCCGGCCTCGTTTGGGGACATACGTCGCTTCCTGGGGTTCGCCTCATACTATCGCAGGTTCGTCCCGAACTTTGCTATGATCGCTAGGCCCTTGCACCTCCTTACGGGTAAGGGTCGGAGGTTCAGTTGGGGTCTGCCGGAGGAAGCGGCGTTTCAGGGCCTACGCGATCGGTTGGCGACGGCGCCGACATTGGACTATCCAGATTTTGTTCGACCTTTTATTCTGGATACGGACGCTAGTGACACTGGGATTGGGGCCGTTCTGTCACAGTCCAAGGGCGGCGTAGAACGCGTGGTAGCCTATGGTAGCCGTGTACTGTCCCCGGCAAAAACCCGCTACTGCGTTACTCGCCGCGAATTATTGGCTATTGTCTATTTTCTCCGCCAATATCGGCCGTATCTTTACGGCCGGTCATTTAATGTGCGCACGGACCATGCGGCTCTGCAATAGGCCCTGAGGGTTGACCAACCATCTGGCCAACTGGCACGATGGTTGGAGACCCTGCAGGAATTTTCCTTCGACATACAATATCGGAAGGGGTCGCGTCACGCGAATGCGGACGCACTCTCCAGATTACCGCAGGGGTCCCCTTGCGCTTGCGCGTCGGGTACGAATAGGTGTACGCCGGTTCAGCTACCCCCTCGGCCTGTCGTGTCAGCTGTCGAGGTGCCTGGGGCTCAGGTGTGCCCAGGACCGGCCAATGGGGTTCTGAACCTACCGCGCTCGGTATGGATTCGCGAACAATTGCTTGACGACTCGTTGGGGGCTTCACGGAGTAGGGCTGCGAAAGGAGCGGGGAGATTGCTGTCCGGTGGGACGCCGGGGGCCGCTCTCCGGGATGGGTTGCTCATGTGGAGAGAGGGATTGCATGATCGCTGGCGTCTGGTAGTACCGTCGTCGCTACGGTACGAATTGATTCGGACTTTGCACGGCGACACTTTATTACATCTCGGGGTGCAGAAGACTTTGTTAACATTGCAGTGAGACTACTTCTGGCACGGCATGACGACGGATGTCGTAGGACACATTTGGGCGTGTCCCGAGTGTGCCCGGCGGAAGCCGCCTAAAAACCCTTACATGCCGCCGGTGCAGTCTATACAAGTGTCTCGAATCAACGAGTTAGTGGCGCTGGATATTTTGGGACCTTTCCCGCCATCCGCTAGGGGTAATAAATATTTGCTGGTCAGGGTGGAATATCTTTCCCGCTGGCCGATGGCTTGGCCTTTACCCGACCAGTCGGCGGCATCTATCACGGACGCCTTCCTATTTGGATATGTGATGGACAAGGGGGCGCCGGAAAGGCTGCTCACGGATCAGGGGCGAAATTTTTCTTCCAAATTGTTGGCGGAGGTGTGCGCTGCGCTGGGAACCAAGAAGGTCCGTACGTCTCCCTACCACCCGCAGACGGATGGCATGGTGGAACGCCTTAATCGGACGCTGTCGGCCATGCTATGTCACACGGTTGACGAAAAACAAGCTGATTGGGACTTGCATATACCTGGAGTACTCTCCGCGTATCGGAGAGTACTCCAGGTATACGTGGCCCCGCGGACTGATGCGTCATCCCCTGATGTTGCCTTGCCGGTGTCTGTTGCGCCCGACGCACCTCTGCCCTTGCCTGTTGACTCTGCAAGCGCGCCTGTCGTGCCGTCTACAGACTAACCAGCCGTGACGCAGGTGGATGTGGCGAATCCTGCTCTGGGTGGGCCTATCACGGCGACGGGGCCACTTGACCCCGCTGCCCCTCCAACCCCACCACAGACACGGTTGCCATAGACCCCGGACTTGGGTCTCCCTGGGGAACGGGACCTTGGCGTTGACGGGCCTCCAACAGCGGCGGGCGGTTCTACTCCCGTCGATCTTAAGACCCCGTCGCGTTCTCAGTCTGTGGGGGGACCGCCGCCCGTTCGGGATGGGCCGGCGACCCGCATGCGTTCCAAATCCCTTTCCTTTCGTTGATTGTTATTGTTCTTGTTGTTCTTATCGTTCTTATATTCTCCGTTGTCCAGTGATGCCAGATGGTTCCAATATTTCTCGCATTATTTTATTATAATTATTGCAGCCGAGGACGGCTGGGTTTTCATTAGGGGGGGGGGGGGTCGTGTAATGCGAGCAAGGATTGAGGGGGGGCGGAGTCTGGGTCACGTGGGGAGTGGGTGGAGTTAGGGTCACGTGGGTGAGAGGATTTAGGGAGAGAACCGGAAGGGGAAGGGGGAGTTGAGACGGAGTGAAACAGGAGGAGGACACGCTGGGCAAGACGGAGAGAGTGGCGCGGTCGCCACGCGGTGGGAGACGTCGACACCGTCAGCCATCGGTGTCAGACGGAGAGAGCTAACGGGGCTGTGAGAGGCTAGCTGTGTACGGGGCAGCAGTGACGCTAGATAGCGGAGCAGCGGTGTGGCTGCAAGGATTACCTAACGGAGCAGCAGGGAGACTGCATATTGGAGCAGCAGGGAGACTGCATATCGGAGCAGCCGAGGCTGTGGAGAGGTCGTCGAGCGGGACGCGGGCCTGAGCGAGACGCCGTGTTATCGAGATTCTACGAACCCAATAAGGGACAACGGAGATCGACATCTGAGAGAGTCCTTTATTACAAGTGCATGACGCGTGTGGCGTCATCACCAAGAGAAAGGTACATCCATTTAGCACTGTTGTTTTCCACACTTTTATTTAACTTGCCCTGTTGTCTGTTCATGTTGTTTCAAGTATTTGACGCTTAATATCTTTGGATCTATGAAGCATGACGAGCTGAAATTTTGTACACAGATTATATTAAGACTAACGTTTTTCAACGCACACACTTTTATTTACACTGAAAAGTATAAAATAAATTATTTTTACCCCAGAATTAATCAAAGTTGATGTGTTAAATAAAGTGGGTGGTTTCCTTTCGATATCTGTCATTGTCTTTATGCAAGTCACCCACTTTTATTCAGCAAATCAAATTTGATGAATTCAGGGGTAAAAATAAATATTTTATACTTTTTAGTGTACATAAAAGTGTGTGGATTTAAAAACTTAGTTTAACTTCTTTTTGCCCAAACCTTTTCAAAGTTTGCTCACTTTTCTCAAGAATAAGTGGAAAAAAGCAAGACAAATTTTGTTTAACTAACGTTTTAGTTTTAATTAATTGTCTTCATGATAGCGAGCATGTTACAAACAGACAGACCGATGGACATCCATAATCTTTTAAACCTTAAGTTAGAAAGTGTAAAATAGCCATTCATAATCATCGTACGTACGTGCTCCTGTCATGTTGCTTTGGGTGACTCTCTAATGGTCCTGCAGAACACAGAGGATAACTATTTAGCGGTGACACAATTCATCCATTCAAATTGGTAATTAAAATTAGAAATAATAATTTACTAGTTGAGGTTTTTTTTTGGAGGCATCTACTCAAGGCGCCGTACAAAGAGGGTATGGGGGGCACATTTGAGGGGAGCAGCGCGAGACGGGGAGAGGTAGGAGAGGGTGTAGCTTGGACTAGAGTGAGATGAGAGAGGTCAGAAAGTGCGTGGAGGGGAGTAGAGTGAGATGAGAGGCGATAGGGAGGAGATTTTCGTGGAGGGGAGTCGAGTGAGATGAGAGGTAGGAGAGGCAGGAGAGTGCGTGGAGTTTAGTAAAGTGAGATGAGAGGGGAGAGGTAGGAGAGTGTTTAGCTTGGAGTAGAGTGGGATGAGAGGGAACGTATGAGAGTGGCTGAAGGTGAGTAGAGTGAGATGAGGTAAGCAGTGGCTACTCCTGGGAGCATCTTGAAGCTGTTTATGGAAATCATATCATCTCCAGTCGATTATCCGGCAGCTTTGTGGGGTAGGGAGCACCGGTTTTTCAAAAACGCCAGATAATCACGAATCATTATTAAAAATAGTTGATTTTGCACATGATTGCATTACATTATGTGTGTAGTTGTTGTGTTTACGTGTTTAGTGCCTTAAATTTGTTTTAATGTATGAAATTGGTATGAATACACTTACAAATAGACGAAATACATATCTTACCTTAAAATTACCGTATTTACTGTACCGGACTAGCCACTCCAATCTCGAAGACTCTGTATGGGGTGATGTATGTAGTACTCCTACACTGCTCTTTCAACACAAACATGTGTTTGACGATCGCCGGACTAATGCAGCCTTTCGACCGGTGCTCTGGCGAACTCCGAATCACACAACGCACCTTTCACCGGATCGCATTGTGTATCTATTCTATTTTTTTTATTAACTGCAGTTATTAGTCATGAAAATGTATATATGTGCAGTATTTTAATTGTTTAAGTCGTATCTAGTGTATTATGTACTTTATGTAATATTTGACACTGAAATCAAGCAAAGGTACTTTTTTTTGTCTCGCACATGGTGCCAATCGCCAGACTGGTTACTGCAGCCTTTGGTGCAGTTTTTCCGGTTTTGCCATATCGGCCGGGGTTCGCCGGATAATGTTGGAAGCCAGATAATCGCGCGCCGAATAATCGATGATCATCTGGATATGCATCCCGACTTGTTCATTACATATCACATAAGCGGCATGGCTGGGCTTCTGCAGTGGAAAGAAACCAATCTGAGCCCTCCTGAGCTGCACTGGGCAGGCTTGACAGGGCCTCACTGTGGCTCGGTTGTGCAGTAAAATGAGAGAGAAAAGTGAACCTACCTTCACATCTCGGCTGTGATTTAGTGGGTTTCTCTGAAGATGAGTGCTCTTTCCTGGGAATAAAAACACCACCACGCACGCACGCACGCTTCCTTCATTATTTACACATACATTGCACAGGTGACAATAAATATGCTGACGCACAGCTTGATGCGTTTGTAGTTACACGACCCTTCGTTGCTGTGTCCCAAAGAAAAAGAACATCAGCCGTCCATCACACCATTCGTAGAAAGTTGTGGTCCTTAGTTAAAGACGGGGATTTCACAGAATATGAAGGTCTCTACCAGCAAATCGGTTGTTAATGTTGACCGCATTGGCGTTCGAAATCTTGATTCGAGAGCTGTTCAATAAAGTGGAGGGAATGTTTTAAGTTATCTTGTTGATCAATCGTTTAAGCTTGGTGAAGATATTATGGAATAACTGAGCGGTGGTTTTCGTGGAACTCCAGGCTACAGTACACTGCAACTTTGCAGTGCTTTTAAATCTGCAGTCAATAAGTCCGTGGTAAAAACAAATTCTGATCATCGTTTTAAATGAAGGGATACCTGTGAATGTCGTGGCGCTGGAACCACTTGCCACTTATTCTGAGCACATTTCCTGTACCCAGAAAGAAATGAGGCTTTCTGAGTTGTCATTGGGAATGCCACACTGCCATGTAGGCCAATCACGATTGCCAGGCCATCTCTGTACATTCTAGAGACAGCATTAAAAGCTATGATTGCAAAGGGCAATGTCCAGTGGTGTTGACAGGTTCAGCGTTATGTCCCACGTACTAGTAGAAATAATCGTTAGGTTGTCAGATGCTCCGTTGGTTGGCACATATTGCCTGGACAGTTTAAAATGCTATTGTTAAATGACAAAGCAGTGAATCATCTTGCCCAGTCGACATCACTGATACGCTGCATCCATATGTCCCCTCAAGGTCTCTCCGATCTAGGGATACAGATCTTCTCTGCATTTCCAGGACCAGGCTTTGGTCTACGGGTGACCACGATTTCCCCCGTGTAGTTCCGAGGCTATGGATCGCTTCCACGAGATATCAGGATCTCGGAGTCTGGGGTCATTAAAAAAATGCATCTTAAAACCTATGTATATGCTTCCACTTATTGAACTTTTAGTTAATTTAGTAAATGGATTCTTAAAATGTATTCATAATATATATTTATTATGCTGAGTGTCTGCTGCTGCTGCTGTGTCTTGCGCAGCACTTGGAGATCCTTGATGAAAAGCGCTATATAAACGGGATTATTATTATTAAATAGCATCTAGTTTCCTCCCTGAACCATCATAACATCTTTCTTAAAAAATGTTCCTGAAGCAGAATATTAGTGCTGGATACAGCCACGTTGGAAAATGTGATTTTGAAAAAATCCGGCGGTTTTTTTTTATCTGGTGCCCCTTCCCCACCAAAGCCGCTGGATAATCGATTATCGACTGTCCTTACACTGCAACCGGGAGTCCCTTAATGTCGAGTTTGAGGATACTCGTTCTAGGACCTTTTGTCACATGCCTTTGCCCTGAAGAACGCCGTTACAGTAGCCTAAGTTGTTGATCTGAAGACCGAGATATCGTCTATTGATATTCGGTCGCCAGGTTGATGGCATCGGTCACGATTTCTCACTTAACAGAGGGGGACGTGTGAAGGCTGCCTGCCTTCTTCCATTTCGCCGAGTGGAGTGATGATGCCGTTTTTGCATTGTTCTGAAGATGTTGCATCCGTCAATTCAAATGTCAGTCGAGAATGTTTGAGAAGAGTCATGTTTCAGAAATGCATACAAAGTCGGGGTTAAGAGTATATATTATTTGAGTCAGTAAATTTTAGGTTTCACACTGTTCACATGTATATGCAATGTCCGACCTATTTATTTTCAGTAAACTTATAAGTGGCATAGAAATTCAGTTTAACACCTAGGCTTTCGCGACCAATATCATCCATAATAGAGTTTTTTTGGGTTAGATCGTGTAAATATTAGTTGTTAAACCTACCACCACCCGACACAGCCAACTAGTAAGGTTGTCACGTAAAAAGAACATGCCAATTCGTCCCTAGTGCAGAACACCGGTTTGTTGGAGAGCCAAGCCACAACATTTACAATCGGAGTACAGCGTTTCGCCACTTATTACAACTAGCTTTATCAGATGACAGCCCGATTAGACAATTCTCCAACACATTGGCGTGCTGTACTCGTGACAAATTGGTATGTTGTGTTTATGTGACAGCCCTTACTAGTTGGCTGTGTCGGGTGGTGGCAGGTTTAACGACACATTTAAATATTTATGCGATCTAACCCCAAAAAAAAGTCTTCATGGCATAGATATTGAAAAACATTAATGTGGTTTTTCGGCCTGGTTTTGTTTCCATTGCACACATGAAAAAGAGGAGAAAGATCAAATTTAGGGTGTATTCAGCCCTGAAGATTGACGAAAATAATGGATTGTTTAATCCTGAAAGACTTCAGAGAGGACGCAAATTTAAATAGAGGTTTGTAGAGAAATATAGTTTGCATCTCAACTGATTAGGCAGATTAATTGATATTGATAATAAATAGTCACCGGCTGAATGAAGACAAACAAAGCATACGAAATCTTTTATATTAAACTATATAGAAGCAAGGGTATTTGATGTTGAAATATGCTATATATAGTCTGTACTATATTTTTAGTCGTTACTCAGTCGATTTGTAGTATGTGGAGGTGAGTGAGTGGTGGTGTATAGGGAGAGTGGCGCTAGTGGTGTCTGTGTATCTGCATCTGAGTATATGCGTCTCTATGGGAGTGTACAGTTCTGTATGTGAACCCATGGGTATCTACACAAGAAATTGGTGACTGGATTGCGACCATCGACTGTACTACTCTTGTGAATCCAGTTTAACCACAGGCAGCTAAAACCTGAATAGAAACCCAGCATCTGAGTGGTGCTGGATCAGCATCTATGATATCTGAGTCGCACCCGGCCTACTGCTATTGAGCCATTTACAAGAGCCATTCAAACACCAGTGCATGCCTTGAGTACTGCAGAGGGCGTATTTATCCAATTCAATGTATCACTCACTCTTTAGTTTTCCAAAACTTGAATTTGTCTTTTGGCGTGTACGCATCTTCATCTGTGACAATACAGTTAATGCATAAATTAGACGTTATAAACACGTGTCACTAGAAGTAATATTTGATTAGATATCAGAACATTCCAAGCTGTAAATAGGATACATATATCGTCATGGAATACTGTAGTGGAGTTTTGTTAAGAAAACTGGTATTCAGATGCACTGTACAATTCGATAACACTACTATACCCAGAATATGAGAAATAAGAATAGGTTTTCCCCTTTTTGGCAATAAAACAGGTGTTAAGATGTTGCAAACACCGGATATATTTTGCAAGGAATCAAGTTTGCATTAATCACACGGACTTGATGTGAAAATGCAAACAAACATGCTCTGCATAGTAACGGGTTTTGGGTTAGATTGTGTAACTATAAATGTGGCGAAACCCTCCAGTTAATTAGTAAATTATTTAAAAAATCTATTATGGACAAATAATTTTCACCGCTCTTACAGCTACAGGCTTAGTGCGGCCTGTAGTTGTCAGAGCGTATTATATTGTTCAATTATAATTCCTTATAGGGGAAACACATACTAGTTAACTGATTACTAATCTAGTATATAATTATCCCCCCCCCCCTCTGATCTCTACACCTGATTGGGTTCAGTGATTGGGTTCAGTTATTAATACATATTACAATTCCTCATCAAAGAAACATACCAATTAACTGATTACTAATATATTATATAATTACATTACCCTGCCTCTGATTTCTGCACCCGATTAGGTTCAGTGATGACGTCATTCTGCTGCTCTATTTAAGACTGATAATGCTGGATGTAATTACGTCGTACTCAGATGGTAAATGTTGTGGATTAACTCTAACACACAGGTTGGCTGAAGTAGTAACTATTTGGCGTTTTGTTTACGTAACAAATCCCTTACTGATTGGCCATGTCGGGTGGTGGAGGGTTTCGACACATATACTAACGCGATCTAACCCACAAACCTTCATGAATAATATTGGTCGCGAAAACCTACGTGTTAAAAAAACATGCTTTGATAATATATGCACTGCCGTTGAAACTGCTTGGCCTACACCAGAGACAGCCTTCTTTATCACCAAGTCTCACCTGTGTCAGACTAGAGAACACCAAAGGTGAACAGTACAATAACAATGCACGTATCAGAGCATTTATAGCTCGGAGTGAGCAGCTATATCATGGGAACTCTTTTTTAACCAGGATAGCCTCACAATCTCCAGAATAAATGTTTTTAAAGGGATCTGCTCAGTTACAAAGCAATGGGCAATGTTGCTATGTGGGTTTTTTTACAATTTAGTAATTATATTAATGCAAATTTGACAGATTTTGACCGTAATACATGGCGAGATCGTTAATGTCTACTATAAACCAAAGGCGGAGTTTGACATTTTGGGGACGGCAGGGGCATTAATAACATTTAATATTCACTTCTTGCATTGTGTCTAATAATTTCCTTGTCTATGCAATCGCAAAACAGCCTTTTAAAACAACACGTGAGCACTCTTTTTCTTACTTTTATATTCCTCAAACAGACTGGTCACATTGTGGCAGAAGCAGAGCCCATCTTGACGAGTGAAGAAGCTTCAAAAGGGTTGGTGACGCTTCCACTGATTTGGAACTTGCACACTTTCATCCAACAAGTTCCACTGCTTGCGCCTAGATGTCAAAGGCTCGGCATTGGACTTGTTGAGACCAATATCTCTGATCAAGTCGTTGAGGTCTTTTTGGTTTGTGTAATATGGGTCTCTCTCCTCAGCTCTCTGACTTGCTGCTCGTTTCTAAAGACGGCTGCTCTCTCTCCGGAGGAGTGGGTACAGGGAGCTCATGGCAATGTGGCACCGGGGCGATGGATGAAGGAAGGTCCGGATACATGATAGCAGGTGTATTCTTGCATAGACCGCGCCTTTTGCCATCATCTGGTCCAACCCATGTGAGACTAGGCTCTAAGGAAAGCTGTCTCGGGTGTGGACCAATCAACTTCAAGGACAGTGCACATTATCAGAGTTATGTTCTTTTGTTTGTATTATGACTGCAGGTATTGCGGTCTATGCAAACATGATTCCTTGTAAAAAGGTGTCAGTTTTGTTGCCAGATAGAAGGGTAAAAAAACAATTATCAACTTCATGGCTCTTTTTTCCCCTCTGTACCATTCTACAAAAATACATTTATTTCACCCATGACTAATGTGTAAGAGATTAAATCTTGACTTTAAGCTTTCGTGACTGCAGGAATTGATATTCTTTGGGTCTTTCGGTAAAGTCACGTAGATAGGTTAAAAAACATAAATAAACAAAAAACTACGACGTTTCGATCGCAACACAAGCTATCGTCATCAGGTGGAAAAAAAGGGGGGGGAGGCACTAAAGGCAAGCTTTTTAAAAGGTTTATAAGGGGCATAGCCCAAGCATCCTGGTATCAGAACGAAGTCGGCGGGGTACAAGTGCCCTGGGGCCAGCACAAGCGGAGATGGTTATGTAAATGTGAGATCGGAGAGCAAGAAAAGGGTAGACGCCTGAGCCGTGGAGAAATTAACAACTTGTAGTACGCACAACGCAGGGGCGACACCGCAGGACCTGGAATTGCTCGTCCCATCTTTAGTAAAATAAAACTAACATCAGAAGATGCCAATATGGAAACATCACAGCCAGTTATGACGTGAACTGCTTGATGGCATCCTTCCAATGATTGCTGGGTTTGTACCCATTCTCTCAGTTGAAATTGCGTCTGTATATATGGATGGCTTCATGAACGAATCTTTGTTAATAGCCAGTGGGCTTGCAAAGTACCTTCATCTCAGAGAAATCAATTTCGTGTGAGCCAACCGCATTAAAACAATTATCAGCTACGGCTGAAGTGTTGGTCCTCCCGTGTTTCAAATCTGCCTTATGCTCACGTACACGGTAATCATTGGAAGGATGTCATCAACCACTTTAAGTCATAACTGGCTGTGATCTTTTCATCTACTCACTTCTAAATCTTTTGTCGTAATTTTTTTATTACTTCAGAATAAATACATGTTAATTTTGATTCATGTTTTTTTCTGACTCTATGCGAACGAAAAGACACACATTTGCCCGTTTTCTCATTGAAAATATGTAAATTTCTAAATATCAGTGTCCTGGTCACAAAAGCAAAGTTTGTGGGGAATAATAGCCATTTTCTGTACTTTTGAGGCATAAGCAATTAGGAAATAACACACTACCCAGGAACAAAAAACCCTAAACATTGTTACACAGTGTTATCACCGCTTGCACATGAGCAGCGTCCACTCTCATCGTGCAGCAGGAGGATAGCTGTCACACTTAAACAAAAAAGTGGTTGCAATGTCTCACATCAGTTCTCTATGGAGATATCGTGGAATGGAAGAAGCGCAGTTGGGTTCGCTTTGTCCCTCACATTAGGCATGGCGGGTGCATACAATTGTAGTGACATAAGAAGGGAGGGGCTGCTGGGGGCTCGGGGATCCCAGGCGAGTCCAGACGCTTAAGCCTCTGGGCGCCAGGCGCTGGGTTCCCAGGGGGTCCAGACGCTTAAGCCTCTGGGCGCCAGGCGTTGAGTTCCCAGGCGCTTAATCCCCTGGGCGCCGCCAACGGGGGGGGGGGGGGGGGGGCTGTGTGTGCTCTGTGGGATGTCTGGTGGCGCACACGGCCCCACCCCTCGTTGGACCAGGCATAAAAGGAGAGCTCCCTGGACGATCGGGGCCCAGTTGTAACTCAAGACCCAAGACCCACGACCAGCCATCTGAAGACTCTGGGATGCTGTGAGAGCCAGTGGTGGGACTCTGGAACTCCCGACTCTACGACCTTGTGAGGGCGAGCGTAGCCAGAGTAGAGTATCTAGGCTGTGTAGCTAGGCTGTGTACCTAGGCTGTAACAGAGTATCAGGACTGTTGGAGTGTTGTATTGTAATAAAGAAGTTACATCTACAAGTGTCTCCGGAACCCGTTACATTTGGCGTCAGAGGTGGCAATGGAGACAAGAAGTAAGCCACGTACCTTCAGTCCTGACGGCAATGTTGAAGAGCAAGCGGCGACGGGGCAGCCAACTCGGGCCGACAACAACGCCGCACCGCCGGCTGAGCAGTCGTCCACCACACCTGCCGATCCTCCTCCAGCGTCGGGAGCAGCAATGGAGGAAACGCTGCTTCGCCTCACCGAGCTGCTCCACACCACCGTCTCCATCCTTGACGACATGCGTCGCTCACAGGCGGAGGCAGCAGGGAGAGAGGCGGCGCAGCGACCGCGCCATTCCGCCGGCTCCCACACAAAGACATCCGGGTGTGTCGTCACTTCTGCGGGGGGAGCAGTGGCCGCTGGGAGCGACGTCACTTCCGGGCCCAGTGTGGGCCATCCCGATGACGCCGCGTCATCAGCGCTGCGTCCCTCACCGCCGAGTGACAGCGCTGCGAACGCGAAGCCAGCTTCAGCCGGGTTACCAGGCAACAAGCGCTTGGCTCACGTCCAGCAACGCCTGCCGGCACTCAAGGCATTTTCTTCAGAGGGGGGTGAGTGGGCAGCGTTCGAACACCGGTTCGTCTCTCTTATAGAGACGTCCGGCTGGTCGGAGTATGAAGCGCTCCAGGGCCTCCCGGCCATGCTCGACGACGACGCCCTCGCAGCACTCCTTGCTGTGCCACGGGCGAAACGTGCCACGCTCACGGATGCCCTTCATCAGATGCGGCTGATTTATGGACCCCCATCCGAAGCACGTCACCGCTTCGATGTGAGGAGGAAGAAGGCCTCCGAGTCGGCGATGGGCTACCGCAGCGCGCTGCTGGCCATGGCGAAGGTTGCCTACCCTCGCATGGATGAAGACGCTGTGGAGTCACTTGTGCTGCAGAAGCTCATGAGCTTGGCCCGCCAGCTTCGAGTTGCCATGCCGACAGCCAACGACGACGACGACTTCACGTCGCTACGTGCTGCCAGGTGCATCCAAGCACACCTACATTGCGATGAGGACACGACCATCGCCGCCTGCGCAGGCCCACCTGATGCACAAGCCTATGACGTGCATTCGGG